TTTGTCCACTATTTCCTTAAAACACTGTGTCTCATGATATTTGATCAGAAGAATTGGACATAATCCATCAGTGAGGTCCAATTCCTAGAAGAATTAAAGGTTGAAGATCATAATGTAAGAAAATTTGAGAATTTAAAATGCTTTTTCCAGTATAGGATGAAACATATAGGTATTAACTTGCGTTATTGTCTTTATACACAGAGTCTAGTATGTAACTCAAAGTGGCCAGCCCCGAGTCCAAGGTCCCTGTGGAAACAATAGAGATGGATGGGTTGATGTTGAAGACTGTGACAATCGTTGCACCTTTCATGCGTATTAAGTGAAAACTAACGTGTTACATATATTAGGACTATAATGCATTGTTACAAGTATTTTTGTGCACGACCTCGGTTTAACCCAGCCCCAACCTAATATATGTTGGAATTTGATTTAGAGAATGAAAATTTTTGTTAAGTATACAACTTAAAAAGTGATTTTGAGTCAACTTTGATCAAATATTTGGATTTGATCCGATAGTCAAATAATAACTATTAATAGATGAACTTGTTCTACTTGTTAAATAGATCTTCGTTGTATATTTGTAATCTCAAAATAAAGTTTGGATGAATGAGAAATTGCGGTCCAAAATTGAATAGAAAAGAGGAAAAACTGGTCGGGAAAAATGCCTAACATCATAGCTCGCCTAACGCTCGAGCGACAAGCTAGTGATAGGCGAGCGAGAGAGGTTCTTTTGAATAGGTGTCACCGTCGCTCGAGTGAGAGACCAACAACTTGCTTCCATTATGTATCCTATATCATTGCATTGAGCATTACATAAAAAATTCTTGCAAAAATTCATTCCAAAATCATCTTCTTGTAGAGGGAAGAATTTCATTCGAGTTCGCTGTTGCTTGTGGTTTGAAGTGCTTCTATCACAAGTTGTATCTGTTGTATTTTGGGAGACAAGTGTTGTAATCCGTTAGCACCGTTGCGGGACAATTCTGTCTTAAGGAAAAAGTGTTAATAACTTGCTCCGGATTTCATTTTTTTTCCTCCTTTTTCTTCACTTTCTTTCTTTATGCTTCACTTTCATAGAGTTTAATTATGCGACTGCGAATTAAACTTAAAATATTACTTTGTCATTTAAACAACAACCATTTAACTATATAATTTCGCAATTGTGAATTAAACTTAAAATATTACTTTGTCATTTAATCAATAACCATTTCACTATATCTAGGGGTGACAAAAAAGCTCGTGGGCTCGGTTGCACCGAGCCGAGGCTCAGGCTAGCCCGTCTCCAGCTAATAATAAAAAAAATATTTAAATTCAAATTTAAAGCT